TTATTATGGCCCCCACCCGCCGCCCAGGGGTGGGGGCCGGGGGGGGGCAGTAGGTCCCCCCCCCTAATTCTCACTATGGCCCCCACCCGCCGCCCAGGGGTGGGGGCCGGGGGGGGCAGTAGGTCCCCCCCCATTCTCATTATGGCCCCCACCCGCCGCCCAGGGGTGGGGGCCGGGGGGGGGCAGTAGGTCCCCCCCCCTAATTCTCACTATGGCCCCCACCCGCCGCCCAGGGGTGGGGGCCGGGGGGGGGGGCAGTAGGGCCCCCACCCGCCGCCCAGGGGTGGGGGCCGGGGGGGGCAGTAGGTCTCCCCCCCTTATTTTATTTTAGGGCCCCCACCCGTGGTTTAGGGGTGGGGGCCAATAGTTTTTTTTACAGTGAGCAGCCACAGGCTGCTCACTGTTTACCAGACATGCTCCTACTTGCGGTATAGCGAGTAGGGGCATTTAATTTACTAATACTAAGTAATCTTTACTTAGTATTAGTAAAGTTGGCTGTTAGACCAATTTAGGTCTTTCAGCCTTTTAGTAGATAACTCCCTGATACCGTGGGAATTAGGGAGTTATCTACTAAGCGGCTGCAAAATGCAGCCACAGCAATGAATAGGATCAGAGTTTCATTCATTAGAATGAAATTCCGATCCGAATAAAATGCCGAATTGCGTTCTAAAAGAAACGAACAGACTGTTGTCATTCAGTTAGAACGCAATTCGGCAGTTTCATGTAAAATGACAGGAAGCATTGTGGGAACACTGAGGAAAGCTAGGGATCATGGGAAAATTGCTCTGACCAGCGGAAATGAAGCACACTTTGCTCCTCCGCTGGTCAGAGCTGGTCAAGCGGAGGAATCCTCCATAAGGCAAAGAGTCCCTACTTTGTCTTATGATTTTAAAGAAAACTAAAGAAGATAGGAAGAAAAGAATAACAGATCCTGAGAGAGGGGGAGAAGAGGAAGAGATTGAGGAAAGGTAAGTTCGGCATGACAGTGCCGCTTTAATCAGGCTTTCTTCACTTCTAGATATCCCTTTTTATAATTGTAACTGTGATATATGTTGTAAATGCTGTGATATATGTTGGTGCTATATAACAGCTAATAATAATATTAATAATATTCTGAGGGACCAAGATTTTCAATGTTTTACATTGTTTTATTGAAAATATTGTGGTGGAACCAGCCTCGCCACTGGGCATTGGAGAAGACTGATTGCCGGCCTCCTGCCCTGTGACTATGGCCCCATGTTGAAAGGATGGATTTTCCCCTGCAAAGACCCAAAAGCTGGGTCTTTCGGTACTTTCCCTATGGGAGCAGTGTTACCCAGATAGCTATGCCATGGAGCCCATTTGTATAATGAAACACTATGGGAAAGACTTTGGCTCCATGGCAATTGAACTGTATGTGTGTGCTCTGAGCGCCATTCAGTAATAATGTGCGCTCAGATCTGAGCTATCTGGGGATATGTTGAATGTACCTGTTTTGTGCAATGGCTGCACAGTTATATGTTTTTATGTGTTTTATTGTCTTTTGCTGCCATGTGGTTAATGGAGTTTTGCCTCTGTCCTGTAGATAATTGGATTACTTCCCCAATTATCTCCAGGATAGAAGACTCTGTGGAACTGGTTTTGGGCAGAAAAGCCATGCTGCATTTGGTCAAATTGGACTTTTATGTGAATGTGATGCATACTTTTCAAGTTATGAATAATGTGGAAAAACTGTATTTCTCTGGCTGTGATAATTAGATTAACCATTGTGTTCAGTAATCATATCACAGCCAGAGGGGAGGATTTTGTGTGGGAGTGTCTTTCTGTAATGTACGTGTGTTATTGGTTGTTACGTAAAACCCTGTGGGCAGTACTAAGTTTGTGTATTGGGAATAAAAGAGGCTGTATGTGCCAGTCCAGTCAGTTCCTGCTTAACCCTCAAAGTGAAGTGTCGTCTCATTATTGGGGAAGGGTTTATTGTATGCTGTTCCAGTTTGACTGCTAGGAGCCTAAACCAATCCATATGGTTTTTGCCTATTCAGCTGTTTATAGCATTCATATGCTTGAGAGAAGGTATACGCTTCTCCGGTTCGGTGATTGTGGTGTCTGCCAGAGTGCTTGGAGTCCTCAGGAAATGCTAGGAGCATCCTTTAACGGAGGTACCCAGTCGGGGTGCCAGGTGATCCGTTACAAATATATTTTGTGTTTTGTCTTGTTTTCTTTGTCTATCATTTTATTTGTAGTACAGTCCACCTAATAGTTCTTTTCAG